GGCCTTGACAGGCCCAATCTTCCATGTCTAGCCCACTCCTCTTGGATCTTTGAGTGTGTCACCTCTTGCATTCCCAAGTATGATTCCATCAGCCCTTCCTTTCAGCGACGTGGAGAATATTCGGCATAGGGCGGAGTCGTCTTGGGTAGAGAGGGTTGCTTGCGTTAGGAAAACATTCAATTGCTCTTCCGGGTCGGTAGATCCATCGTACTTCTCAATTGGGAGACTTTTCTAATGGTCTAGTAGGGTTGCTTCCATTATCCTCCGTGAGAAAGGGTGTCTCAAGGAGTGAGCGCCGGTGTCGGCCTTGTTACCGATCAAAGAAGTGGCTGGTGTTCGAGTGACCTGGTCGGTTGGTGCATGATAAGCTGACTCTTTAGCGAGTGTGGGGGTAAACGGTACGTAAGTTTGGTTCAAGTTCCGGAGCTCGGCATTTTGCCGACGTAACTCAGCCAGTTCTCGGGCATCAGCCTCTCTTTTTCTTCGGATGGCCGCCATTTCCTCGCGCAATGCGCGCAAGTCATCTTGGAAGTCAGGTTGAGCTCGGTCAGTATTTGGCTAAACCTGTTGTATCACAGGTTCCGGTTGGGTTTGAGGCATTCCGTAGGGGTAACGTTCTTGGTTGGTCATGACGGGATTGCTTTCAGGGTTAGGGATCAGCTGAGTCGTTGTTGATTGTCCTTTGCGCGTAACTACCATGTCTCAGTCTCAGTTGTAGAGTAAAAAGGGGCTGAAACGTCTCTTCGGCCCCACGGTGGGCGTCAAATGTTCTTGTGTTAGGAAACACACTCCAATTATCCTAGCTGTGTCAGGTCGGGTCTTGGGTCTCGGTCTTCTCGTTTTTGTCCGGGTAGTCCGAAGCGAGGTGGGGGGTGCCTGCAAAGACACTCCGACGCTCAAGTCAGTGCTCGGCGTAATAAATACGGTAGTTAAAAGTTAGTTGCGTACCTCGTTGGGATCCTATTTATAGTGGTTCTTATTGGGCCTTGATTAAGGGTTAGCCCCTAGAAAATTAGGGGGCTAATCCGATGCATTGTGTTAATTAAACTCTACTTAATCATTCTGGTGTGGTACAGAACATGGTCGAGCACACCGACACGTTTGGTTCGGTCATAGTGGTCGGCGTGTTCGAGTGTTCGGCCTAAGTGTTCTCGGACGGGTATTCGGTTTGGTCGGCTACCATACGGTATAATAAGAATTTAAAAGAACCCTTACATGGATTTTAGATGACTAAGTTTCCCCAGCTCGGGAGCCAACGTCCCTTCCAAAGATAGATTGGCTAGGACCTGCAAGAAATAACGGGAAGGAAAAAAATCCCATAAGCTGACAAAATTCAGCATCGCATTCACATCAATAATACCGTCTCACCGCAACAAAATTTGAATTTAAAATTTTAAGAAAAAAGGAATATTTTCCAGAAGATATGCGCATTAATTATTCTCGCTATAATGTCTAGTGATACCAAGAAACAAGACAAATAAGGGTTAGGAGCAACTACCCATATGGGATTTGTCAAGAGCACGTTAACACACCTACAAAAAGATTAATCGAGCAACATGAGTACTGAACCAGTGAGACATGACATAATAGTAGTTTCTACTTTCAAGCAACATGAAATAACTTAAATTTGTTGGGGGCAAAGGGCAATAACAAACTAGTGAGCTTGAAAACAAAGTACCCATATAATGCATCAACAAGAAGTGAGGAGAGCATCCTAATAGATCCAACACCGATGCCCATCTTCAGCACAAAACACTTATACCCAAATACTCTAAAGTATGAAATATTAGGCTTCCTCCCATTATAAATCTCATAGGGTGTTTTCTTTAGAATGGGCCGAATCAGAACCTTGTTTAACACATGACAAGTTATATTAATAGTATCAACCCAAAAATATTTTGGTAGTTTAGTCTCATTCAACATAGTCCTAGCTAATTCCTCAAGAGTCATACTTTTTCTTTCAACAACCCCATTTTGTTGAGGTGTCCTAGGTGCTGAAAAATTATGATTAATACCATACTCCTCACAGAATTTTTGGAACAAAATATTTTGGAATTCACCTCCATGGTCACTTCTAATTGAGGTGATGTTTGTGTTCTTTTCATTTTGAATAAACTTGGTAAAATTCTTAAAAGCATTAAAAGCTTCATTTTTATTTACAAGAAATATAACCCATGTGAATCTTGAATAGTCATCTACAATAACTAACCCATAGTAGTTCCCACCTAGACTCATGGTTCTTGAAGGACCAAAAAAATCCATGTGAATTAATTGTAAAGGTCTAGTAGTTGAAATCTGATTTTTGCTTTTAAAGCTAGCCTTTAATTGCTTGCCCTTTTGACAAGCATCACATAGTTTGTCCTTACTAAACTTGAGTTTAGGTAATCCTATCACTAACTCCTTTCTACTATGTTTTTTTTAAGTGATCCATGTGAATATATGCAGCTCTCCTATGCCATAGCCAAATATTGTCTTCTTTGGTTATTAAGCACTTGGTGTTGGAAATTGCTATTGAGTGCTCTAAGTCTAGCATGTATATATTGTCAATTCTTTTTCCAACGAATCTAATTTCTTTTGTCTTTTTATCACAGATCAAGCAATAAGTGTTATCAAATTAAATTTTAAAACCTTTATCACTAAGTTGACTTATACTCAGCAAATTATGTTTCAGCCCTTCAACAAGCAATACATTATCAATCAATGTTAAGAAGGAGGAGTTACCAATATTTCCATGACCAAGAATCCTCCCTTTGTTGTTGTCACCATAAGTAACAAACCCTTCATTCTTTAATTTCAGACTTGAGAATTTTGAAGGTTCTCCAGTCATATGCTTGAGCAGCCACTATGAAGATACCATAATAAGATTTTGGCTCTCAAGCATTCCTACAAAAAAGATTAGAAAATTGATTTAGGTACCCATGTGAAGGGTCCTTGATGATTAGTTCTTAGCCTTTGACTCTTTTTAATCCAAATCATTTCTCCATTTGGAACTCCATACTTCCTAGAGAAGCAATTCCTTATTGTATGACCTTTCTTACAACAATAATAACAAGTTGTTTGTCTAATAAAATTACCTTTTTATTTTTTGAAAACTTGGTTTTTCTTAAAAACTCTTTCATTTGATTTTAATGGCATGTTCAAGCTTTGATTAAAACCATGTCCACTTCTATCAAAAGTATTTCTTTGTTTTCCCAAATGATATTCAAATTTGCATTTCCATTTGTGAACTTTGCAAGAGTAATTTTCAAATCAGCATTTTCCTTTTCCAAAGCCTTGCAATTTTCACAAACAACTTTTGAAGAAGGGGAGGTTTCACAATGAGCTTCATTGAAGTTCAAAATAGTTTGAAGATTGTCATGCTCATTTTTCAAATCCTCAAGCTCTTGTTCAGCTTTAATTAAAGCATTTTCATACCATGACAGCTTGTTTTTAAGCTTTGAATTTAAAGCATTTAATTTCACAGGCTCTTTGTGAATTTGAATGAAAATTTCTTGAAGTTGATCATAATCCGAATTAGATTCAAGGTCAGAATCACTTACTATTGTGTCTTGATCAGCTCCAACCATCAAACATAAATTGTTCTCTTCAAATTTAGATTCATCACTTATTGTGCTTGAGTCATTGTCTTCCCAAGTAATGTAGGCTCTTTTTCCTTTGCCATTTTTCTTCACCTTCTTTTCCTCTTGTTGCTTCTTTAAGAGGTTTGGACATTCAGCTTTTATGTGTCCTGGTTTCCCACACTCAAAACAATTGTAGGAGGATGTACTTACTTCCTCTTTCTTATTTGCTTTCTTGTTGAACTTGTAGGGGGAATTCTTCTTCTTTCTTAGGAATTTTCTGAACTTCTTCACCAGCAAGTTGAAGTTCTCTGTTTCAGAATCTTCGGAGCTTGATTCTTCATGCACTTCTTTTCCTTTAAATGATTTCAAGGCTCTTAGTGACACTCCCTTGCCCTTTTTGTCTTGCTGTTCATTCTCCTCAAATATATGTAGCTTTTGCTCATGCTCTCTTAGCTTTCCAAAGAGAGTAGCAAGGGTCAATGAAGTCAAGTCCTTTGATTTTTCTATGGAAGTAACCTTTGCTTGCCATGATCTGTCCAAGCATTGCAGCACTTTCAAATTTAATTCTTCTGCTTCAAATTTCCTGCCAAGATCAACAAGGTGATTTATCAAGTGTGTAAACCTCTTTTGAAAATCAGAAATTGATTCACCATTGTTCATTCTCAACAATTCATATTCTCTTATGAGAGTATGCTTTCTAGATCTCTTTACATTGCTTGTTCCTTCATGAATGACTTGCAAAGTGTCCCACATTTCTTTAGCAGATTTACATTGAGAAATTCTAAAAAATTCATCAATAGACAATGTAGATGTAATGATGTTCTTTGCTTTAAAAGAAGAAAATAAATTAGCAAGAAACATAAAAAGCATAAATTACTAAATAAAATATAAAAAAGGTTCATTTAAATTACAAACATCTTAAGTATGACCAACCACAGCAATGGCTGTGATTGAGATGATGGACCAACTATGACACTCGATCCATCTTCTCCTTGAATTTCATTAACACTTGCCAAAATTACCTGAAATTCTACAATACATTTAAAAATAAGATAGTTAACTCATGTGCAACACAAATATTAAATAATTTTCATAGCGAAAGAATATTATGATACCTGTAACAATATTTTCTGAAATTTCAAACTCTTCATTGATATTAAGATCTTTGAACTGGGTTGTAGTTGACCTCAACCAATTTTGAGCACAAATTACTGCCTCTGCCATTTGTGGGTTTAAAGATCTTCTAAAAGCATCTAAAACTCTACCCCCTGTACTAAATGCACTTTCCGAAGCAACTGTAGAAATTGGGGTGGCTAAAACATCACTAACCATTTTTTATAGTATAGGAAACCTTGAAGAATTTTGTTTCCACCAAACAAGAATGTCAAATGTGTCATCAACATCTATACAAGTTTCATTTAAATACCATTCAAGTTCATTTTTTCTATCAATAGAATTTTTTTTCCCTTAAGTGCTTCTTAAAAGCATCTTTCCTAGCCAAATATGATGAATTTTCAACAAAGACAGAAGTTTCACTATGAGAAACACAAAATGTTGAATCATGAGAGGATTGTGCAGATTCATTTTGTTTCTCATAACCTGTCTTGTACCAATTATACATGTGGAACAAATTTTCTTTCAAAGAAGTGGACAAATTTTCATCAAAATTTGCATCGTCTAAATACATTTCTTTAAATGACCAATCCACAAATTCAAATTTGTAACGAGGGTCAAAAATAACTCCAAAATACAACAATTGATTGATGTTATTTATATTACCCCAATATTTGTCATACTTTTGCTTCATATTAAAACCCATCATGGCCAAAATAGTGTTCAGATTCATATTTGATTGCTTAAGTTCAAAATAAATGGATGACAGTTGATGAAATGCAACATGTAAGCTGACATGTGATGATGTAGAGAAAACCTTAGTGGCCTCATAGAAAATTTTCAAAAATTTTAAAAATGCTCGAACATTCTCCCAATCAATTGTAGTTGGGGGACCAGCTATCCCAAAAACCTCTAGATAACTTGAGTCTTCAAAGTCAAGCTTTTCAAAGGCAACTTGAAATTTTTCAGCAGCATCTAACATCATATATGTGGAATTCCATCTTGTGGGAACATCAAGACATAACAATTTTTTACATTCAATTTTTGAAAATTCAACACACTCTTTGAACTTAGCCAATCTTTGGGGTGAAGACCTTACAAATCTAACAGCTGTCCGAATATTTGCAATTGAATTGTGCACATCTTTTAAACCATCATTCACTACTAGATTTAGTATATGGGCACAACACCTCATATGAAAAAATTGACCATCCATTACTAATCCTCCCATATTCTTGAATCTTTTTTTCAAATATGTTACAGCCACATCATTGGCTGAAGCATTGTCAACTGTAATTGTAGACACATTTCTCAAACCCCATTCCTTTAATACCTCCTCAACTTTCTTTCCTATGGTCTCCCCTTTGTGGTTAGGAACTATTGAGAAACTAATGATTCTTTTCTGATATTTCCAATCATTATCTATAAAATGTGTTGTGAGTGCCAAATAGTTTAAATTTTGAATAGACGTCCAACAGTCAGTAGTGAGAGCTACCCTAGCACAATTTGACTTAAAGAAAGCCTTTAGCTTATGCTTTTCATCCATATAAAATTGAAAACAAAGCCTTGCTATTGTATGTCTTGATGGTACAATAAATTGTGGTTGTAACTGTCTACAAAAGTGCTTAAAACCCTCACCCTCAACCACCCTAAAAGGTTGTTCATCTAAAATAATAAAGACAATTAATGCCCTCCTACAAGCTTCAACATTGTATCTTTGGCTTACAACTGTCAAACCGCTCACATCTCTCTTCAAGGTAAGGGATGTTTGGTTGGGGTCATTAATAATAGCATTTGGATATTTAGGACATTTTCCTATGTGGTTAAGTAAACTTGATGTGCCATGTATCTTTGGATCACACCTATATCGTTTACCACAATGATTACATTCAGCCATTTTCTCCTTAGATTCATTTTCAGATATTGTTTTGAAATGTTCCCAAACTATAGAGGTTTTTTGAGACCCACTTGCATTTAATTTCCTCTTTCTTGTATTAATTGGGAGGGTAGCAGTAGGATTAGTTTCTACAGCTTCAGCTATAACTGTTGGTTGTCCAATAGGTTGTGCACCACCACCATCACCTCTTGATGCTGCTGGTTCAGTCATGGTGGGATTTGCAACCTCTTCGAATTGACTAGACTGCTCCATTACTGTATAATGAAGTCATAGGTAATTTTTAAGTGTTTATGGTATTTTAACAACTTTTAATTTGTTATTTTAGAGTTATAAACTTGAATTCATGATTTAAAATGTCATACAGTATTAGCAAAAACAAAAAAAAATACATAAAATAGATATAAACTAATGTAAACAATTACAAAATTTTTAATTTAACTAAATAAGTGAAACACGTGTTTATAAATAAATAAGTTTAACACAAATAGTTAACATAAGAATTTTCAAAATAAAACACAAATCAATTATTAAAAAAAATCATAACATGATAAACAGTAAGTACCTGAATCTTTTAAATTTAAGATTTTTATCTTCTTTTTATGTTTTTCTTTCTTTTGTGCCTTGTGAGTGTTGAGTAATGCATCAGAAATTGTAAAAATGCTTTTATTTTGCCTATGCTTAACAGAAATAATGAATGAAACTGTTTCTATTGTTGATTAGTAATCTCAAGAAACATCAAATAATAATAGGAGCAGGAAACTCAGATTCAGATTTTAGGATTGTTTAACTGGTAACCATACCATAATTAATTCCTTTGCAAGTGAAGAAACTAGCAAACTCTCATATGAAATATAGAATTCCAAAAAACTAGTCATAATTAGCTTCATATCATGAGCAAACATTAAATTGCAATATTTTTTTGCTTCCTTTTTAGGTGCATACATGTAGAGTCATATGTTGCAAAGGTACTAGTTTGATGTTTGAATAAATATGTCAAAACAGGGGCAACTTTACTAACCAAAAGTACCGAGGGGACAGAAAATTGCGTAGAAAGGTTCAAAAGTGTAAACAAACTTTGCCATTATGATGAAGAAGCTTGAAATAATGAACATTAGATGTAGGTCAGTTACAAAATCAGATATACAAACACACAAGAATATAATAGAACTACGACGGCGCCTTCAGATTGGTCAGTTACAAAAGAAAATATCAGTGCAAACAAAAATACTGTATGAACTATTGAAGATTTAATAATGATACAGGAGAGGAAGAAAACGAACAAACCTGTTCTTCGCGATGTTAGAAGGAGACAAGCAGATTGGCAGTAGACAGAGAGGAGTATCCAGTGGCAGAAGGAGATGAATGAACCGTGCTAGGGTTCACATGACTACTCTCGCGGCGTTAGGATTTGTAGTTTGTGTGAGCGGCGGCGGCTAGGTTTTTGAGCACAAGAAGAGAAGGTTTCGTCTTTCGTGAGCAGCGGCTAGGGTTTAGTTTTCCTTTCTCTCGCTCGCGATGCTAAAAGAGTAAATATACACCTTTTAAGTGTTTTGGGTCGGTCGGGTATGGATATCCACGGGTTCAAATTTTTAATCCGAACCCGACCAACAAAACCCATAATAACCCGACTCTAACCAACCCGAAAAACCGAAAAACCGCAAAAAACCGGCCGCATAAAGAAACTTAGATGCGGACAGTTCGGATTCAGTCGGAGCCGGAATTTATGCTCACGCCTA